GATCACTGTACAGCTTTCAACAATGAGCAAAACTTATACCGAATAGCAAACTATATATAAAAGACCCCGTAAAAGAATATAAAAAAAATCTAAAATTCATAAATTATTTCTCTATAATTCGGAATTCACATTGCAATGCTTTGTTTGCAACACATGTAAATTCCTAATGAAACAAATTTAATCAAACAACTATTATATTTAATTTTGTGATCAAGATTTATTTCAAGCTGAATACAGGATATAATTGTCAAAAATCACTTTCATCACCATCATCATCAGCATCATAGTTTATTGGACTATGTTTGAGTGCTACTTCAGCTAATATTTCCATCGGATTTTTTAGTGGTGATTTTGGTTCTGGTTTCACACTCGCGTTAGAATACGGATTACTGGTAGGAAATCCTTGTATCTGCGGGTTGAATGTGGTAGACATTTGCCCGGAATTAATATTTGGAAAGAAAGGCATTTGATGATACATTGGATATAGATAGGGTTACGGAAACTGAGGTTGAGGTTGAGGTTGACACATGGGGACAGCTACTTTGGCGGTCTTCATATTTGTAGAAATGTCATCATCATCAATTTTCAGGCTTCTTTTGATGGGATTAACCTGGAGATTTTCTCTTTTCTTATTAATGGAATTAAGTGCTTCTTTAAAATCAAAACTGTCTCTTCCATTTTCAGTTTGTGACTCACCTTTAAAATACGTTTTTAAGGCAAATAAGTCCCTCATCAGTATAGAACCATCAATATATTTTCTAGGATTCGAAGCTCTTAATCTTTCCCTCATATTGCTGATACAATCATGTTTTCTAGTCAGCGCGTATGTCTCTAGCATTTTCTGCTCCTCTGTCATTTTTTTCACTTTCTGCTTGAGTTGTCCAACCTCTCTTAGTTTTCTTTTTTTTTTCGATTGCGTATTCATGATGCTTGTCAACCTGACAACAGTTACTTTTTGACATGCAGGGCAGTTTTGCGCAGGGTTGGTTGTTTTTTGTTTCCATCTGCCTTGCGCCATGTTTCATGGCAATTTGTATATCTTCTTGATTGGTCTTTGGCCTTTTCTACTAGAATCATTGTATTAAGTTCCGCTTCTGAATTGTCCAGCTGGCGTTTAAGTGAGTTAATTGCTGCTTTGTTGGCGTCTGAAATTTTGCCCATACTGGGCTTTTCTGCAGGCATTTGTTTGGTACTAGCTGACAACTCACACGACTCATTCACATCTTTCAGATTAATTAATGCAATTTGTAACTGTCTTTGTTTGCCTAACAGTAAACAAATGTTAGCCTCTTTAAACAATATTTCTATATCTTCATTAACACGAATGCATCTCAAGCTTCCATTAGTATCAAATCCATTTTGCCTAAATACTGACGAAAACGATTGAAATTCTGGACCTATTTGTATCAAGAACTCTTCAACACTTAATCCATCCATTATCAATTTAAACTTGAGAATGAAGCACACAAAAAGTCATGTGACAAATGAGTTGACAAATGAGTTTACAAAAGAGAAGACACATAGTAACTCAGGTAACAGAAAAGTCGAATGTGGGGCTAACTGCATGCTATTCATGTTCTACACTTTCCTATTTTGAAAGTATGAATGGCATACCTATACATTTGTCTGGGGCCATATGCAGGTTTCTCAAATCAGATTCTACCAACATTTTATAAAAGACAAAATATTTCAAATTTAAATCATATATTAAATTGATATTTATTTCCAAATCTCATGAAGAAAAAAAATAAACATATAGTAACATTACAATTTTTTAATTGTTCCGAAATATCTTAAATAGACATAGTATTGTTTGGAATGGTTAAAATTTGCCAACACTTATATTTCAAACATGGAAAAATCAAAAGCAGGAAGATTTTATAAAAGAGGAAAATTATTACAAGAAGAATTACAGTGTAGGATAATAGACAATTTTGGAGAAGGAAAATCTGTTGAAGAAAAATCAAAGTTGACAAGTGTGGATATAAGAACTGTTAATAAAACTATTCAAAGATATATGCACACTGGAACAATTTCAGATAAACCAAACAGGAGGCCAGCTGTTTTGGTCAATGGAAATATTCTAACAGCAATTGAATACTATCTTTATAGACAACCATCACTGTATCATAAAGAAATTCAAAACAAATTAGTCAATGATGGTGTATGTCAGCCTGACAATGTTCCTAGTGTTGTTTCTATATGCAGAATTATTAAAAAAAACTTTGCTTCAAAAGAACAAAAACTAACCGTTAAAGCTAAAGAGGGCGATTTACCGAAGCTAATCTAAGAAATATTTTACAACATGAAATAAGATTAGTTTTTCAACCTCCTTACCATCCTGAACTTAATACTTGTGAACTCAGTTTTCTAAAATAAAGTCCTTTTTAAGGAGATTTCCAGATTAATTCATGAGTATACCGAGTTAGCTATATGTGATGCAGTTAATAACATATCATGTAGTGATTGTTTTGGTTATTTTCATCATTGCGGCTATATGTGATTTTCACAGCTGACATTAAACTTGTTTCTAGAAGTTAAATACATGTTTCTTTTATGTTTTATGACTTATTTTATTTTATTTTACTTTATACAAAACTGAAGAGACATGTGGTATATGAATGAGACAACAAGACAACATAATCTTTTAGGGAACCAACAAAAAATTATTTGTTAGACTTGCAAAGTAGGTCATATATCGGCAAAATTTACAAAACAAAATGTAGTTTTAAAATGTAATCTACTACTCCTCGAAGTGTTTAACCAAGATCCCTAACATTTCGCAGAATAAAGTGTTTTAAGGTATGCACCTGCTATGCAGTTGTTTAAAGAAAAATCCGCCCATCCTTTTCAAGACTAGGAATTTACTCAGTCATTTGTAAGTTATATTTACAAAAGAGCGTACCAGTCTGTAATCAACTTCCCACCAGTTTTCAGTCAAGACATCTTAAAATTCATAGAAAGTTTGTGAACCATTAAAGATTGTGCTTATCAATTAATAAGTCGTATAAAGATAATTTTCCCGTTTTCTTGTTTCATAAATATCATCACAAACAAATAAGGAGATCATGGTGGTACGATTGTTAATGCGAAAGCTAACTATCCACCAAAGTACAAATGAGGTGGGTGTTAGCACTTATAGACAACTGTATATGGCCTTCAACCATGAAAAAACCGAAACCGTACAATCAGCTATAAAACTAAGGCCCGGCCCGACATGAAAAATGTTAAATATTCTGTATAGATTATTCTCCATTGCAGTATAAGTAACTTTATGGGCCAATTGAGTCTTTGGTCAATTTGTTTTTATAAAGGTGTCAAATGTTTTGCTTCATGCATGTCGATTCAAAATTTAAGAAGTAGTGGAGAATATTTAGATAGTTCAATATTCGAAGGATTAACTCATGTGGAACAGCTATTCATAAAATTACAAATCATGTTAGAAACATTACATTCTGATAACCTTTTCTCTCTGTTTTTCCCTAAATCCTCAATTTCTTATATTATAATTTGGAGAAAAATGTAAAGTCAGTATTTTATTTTGATAAATGGTGACAGAATGTTTTGGATCTTCGGTTGCAGTCATTGGTTTCCCGTAGCTTTAAAAAAAAAATAAACGCTGATTTTTGTTCGTTTTTATAGTGGTATTTGTTTGTTTTTTTAGTGATTAAAATTAAAACACAATGTTTACTGCTGTACCCCTATTTTTGACATTTATTTTTACCTATTATGTCTGCTTGTGTTATGCACGCATTGTTGTCAAATTTGATGCGACTGGCATACAAGTGAGAGGTTTAGCTAGCTATCAAATCAGGTTCAACCTACTATTTTTTCTTAAAATGTCCTGTACCATGTCAGGAAAATGGCAGTTGTTATCTTATAGTTTGTTTCTGTGTTTGTTGCATTGTCGTTTGTTTATTGTTGCACTTCAGTGTTTCCGTTGTTCCGTTGTTTTCCTCTTAAAGTTGATGTGATTCCCTTGGTTTTAGTTTGTAACCCGGATGTTTTTTCTCTCAATCGATTTATACTTGAACAGCGGTATACTACTGTTGCCTTAATTTAGGTCCGACAGATGCACAACACATCATCGGATTTATTTTAATATATCTCAAATGTGCAGATTTTGAAGCCTTCAATGTCTTTAAATAATGAGATTTGTATACTTTTGGAGGTAAAGCGTTTGAAATAGATCAATTCTGGAAAACAAGTATGTCCGATTTTAATCTTATGATATACAAAATGCAGTTGAAATTAAAGGCCCTATTTTGCCTGAAGTGAACTTTGTCTATATAGTGGTCTTAAATCGAAAATCTAACAAACACTGCTTAAAGATTTTTTTGTTAAATATCTCATTGTTCAAAGCAGCACTCGTGCAAATAAAACGATATTTAAGCAAAATGTTAAAATAAAAAAAAAAACACTATAGAACGTGCTTTGCTAAGTCTCTAAAAGAGGGACGATAGATACCAGAGGGACAGTCAAACTCATAGATCGAAAACAAACTGACAACGCCATGGCCAAAAATAAAAAGACAAACAGACAAATAATAGTACAGATGACACAACATAGAAAACTAAAGACTAAGCAACACGAACCCCACCAAAAACTGGGGGTGATCTCAGGTGCTCCGGAAGGGTGAGCAGATCCTGCTCCACATGTGGCACCCGTCGTGTTGCTTATGTTATTACAAATCCGGTAAATAGTCTAATTCGGTAAGTCATCTTCGTGAAAAGGGAAGGGTATTGTAGTTACGACATAAGGAACATATCCGATATCATCTGTGAAACGGTTATTCCATAACGGTCAACCAACTCGTGATGGCGTCCGTAAAATTTACCAAGGGATGATTTCAACTTCACCATTTGGAACTCTTGGCTTAATAGCTTCAATCCTTTATCAAGGAAATCATGATAGGAAATACAAGCCCGGGAATATCGTATCTAAAGTTGAAAAACACATTTGAGAAATTATTTTTTTTTCATTTAAAGCAGAAAGATGTCTTCAGTATAGTTCCTTTTTTTTAAAGAATATATAGAATTAAATTACAATTCCTCATTTTTATACTTCGTTTGAAATATATATGAAAATTGCTAACTTTACATGTTTATGTCTTGATAGGTTTTGGTTTCACTCGTTATTCCACTTTAATTCTTAGAAACTTTTTCTACTACTTGATCAATTTCTTTCGTTTGGGTCTGCTTAATAGACTACGGTCATTGAAATATTTCCAATCTCCTCATTCTCCTCCGGTTCACGTCTTGAATGCTCATTACGATATTGTACATTGTATCTGGAAAATTTAAAACCGCTAATATAAACTAATAGGGAAAATACAGTGTATGTATTGAAAAAAGAAATTACTGCACCATATGTTTAAACTTTTAGACTACAAGTGTAAAAATCTGGCGATACTGATGATTGTTACTACAAATATATGATAACTTTCTAATCTCATCGTTCAAAATAAAATTAATAAACTGTTCATATTTACATGTTTTTGCTATTTTAGATGTTTACATGTTGTAACCGATAGTCATGCTAGTTCGACAGTAGAAACCAGTGAATCCCAATTATAAATGTTTCGAACAAAATACTTGATTCAATGGTTGTATGAATTAAATATTTTGCGTCCAGTACAAATATATTAGATAAAAAGATGGCGTCGAAGACATGTAAAATGTTTTTTTTTTCCAGCAGATTATCTTTTATGCATCAAATTAATGGAAAAGTAGTGATTATTGTGCTTGTTTTTATTCAAATATTCGAGCAAAAATAGCAGTACTTATCTTTTCGACGGGAAAAGATTTATCTGGATTTCTCATAATGAATGTATTTGAAACATCAAAACTGAATTTTATAAAACATTTACAAAAAATATTGTCGCAACTAAAAGGTATTTAAGAAACAAAAGGCTGAAAGATATAGTAGCATACATGGCAATAAGAGAAGTATAAAGATTAGAATAGAAACAAAGGAATATTGTTAACGTGTATATTTCTATGCTTCATATTTGTATCAAGGTGTGATTACTACGATAAAGAACGACAGTGGTAAACTTATCGGATACGTATACGTATCAAAATTGAATGCGTTTGGTTCTTTATTTTCCTTTTGTTGCAAGGACTTGAAATGTATTTATATTTGTTTTCAATAGGTTCCGTTGGTTGATAATTGATGGTTGGTAGTCTTGTGGTTTTTTTCTCTCAGGTTTTATAGACTTTTCATCTTTTTGAAATTATCTATCGATACATTTTTGCAAATACTTTATTCACACCAGGTTTTTTTAATGAATGTTTTACAATTTACAAGCACTGCAAATTATACAAATGGAATTATGTAGTTAAGAAAATAGCATGCTTTTTAGTACAGGAATGCTCACCCAGGCTTTGCATGTCCTTCATATTCTGCAAAAACTACGATGGAATGATTAGTGTTGATTACTATATACATGTGTTGTTATTTTCTAAACAACCAAGCCTTTGTTGACAACTTTATCATGTGTGGTTTGGTATATAAATTAACATTGTAGCTTGACATAAAAGATTCAAGAACAGCATTTTGTTCTGATAAATCGAGTTGAACTGTGATCTATTGCTCAATAATGATACATGCGCTATAAGCACAATGTATATAGTACAAAAGTGTGATGAGTGATAAGTTTGAAAATGAATCACATGGAATAGCATGGTAACATGAAGCCAGATTTTCAATTTCATTTATGTGTAGTTCTTTGGTAAAATGCTTTAAGTGTTAAAAGTATACCGGCAAACGTGAATCAGATATCGATTCATTCAATGAGCCTCAACACATATATATACATTGTGTCATGTTAATTGAATAAAATGCTCGTACTGTGTACGTTCTATAGAACGATTTAACATTATTTCTATTTATTGTCATCGCTTTATAAACGTTGGTGTTTGCTATCTTTTATCTATCAAATAAGACTTAAATGTTTTGTCTTTTGTCCAATATTCTTGAACGTATATTTGCTAGTACAATGATCGATATTTTAAGGGAGAAGGTTCAGATCTACTAATTAGACAAGATTAACCTCGCCACATATTCTTTTGCCTGTAAATAGTGGGGATGTGTTGGTCATATCTTATGGTTAAACATTCAGTAAATAATTTTCTTTACAATTTTGAGTTATTGAGTTTGGTATCGTATATGTTGCCCCTTTGAGAAGTCTTAAATTTTTTATTTTTATTCATGTCGTTCCGTTCTCATAAGATATTTTATTTATCAGGTCTCTTACTACCTCTAGTTTATCACAGTATTGTGTCTTGTCGAACTTATGAAAACATATGCCAGCCGTTCCATTGGATGAAATGCTGTGTTACATGTTTATGTTTTGCGCAATGTAGTCTTTTTTGTCATTTGGTCTCTTGACAGTTGTAAAGAGTTGTCTCATTTGCAATCACACCAAATCTTCTTTTTTATATTTAATTTTATTTGTGATGGAGTCGTGTTCATACTATTTATAAATGGTGCTTCATTTGATTAACAGGCAACCGTATATTACTGATGCTAAAAGCTCTTAAATCAATTCTAAATACTGTTAATTAGGAAATGTTTGCAAAAATTTTGACGACTAAATTTGCAAAACATCTTTAATGTAAATAGCAGCTACTATTCATATGCGGAAACCGTAATAATTAAGCTATCATTGCTGTTTACTGTTCAACAATCAAAGTAATATATCCACCTAGTATATTCTTAATATATAGTATACTTCAGTTTAAAACCCGAAACAATAAAAATAATTATGCCATAAGTAATCAGGTTCAACACACCATTTTTTCTGTTAATGTCCTGTACAAGTCAGGAATATGACAGTTGTTATAAAATAGTCCGTTTCTATGCAAGTTGGTGTTTATTTTAGAAGCAGTTCAGTGTTTCTGTTGTTCCTTTTTTTCCGCTTACAGTTGGTGTGTTTCCCTAAGTTTTGCTTTTTGACTCAGAGTTGTTTCACTTTATCGACTTATGACTATTGAATAGCGGTATATAGTTATCAAAGGTATCAAGCTTATTACTTAATACACCCTACGCGCGTTTCGTCTACATAAAGACTCATTCTACTATTGCCATTATTCATTCGTTATCTGATTAATCAAATAGAAAAAAATGTGGCATTTTAACAAATGATGTGAAATAAACTCATCATAGATACCAGGATTAAATTTTGTATTTACGCCAGACGCGCGTTTCGTCTACAAAAGACTCATCAGTGACGCTCGAGTCCAAAAAAGTTAAAAAGGCCAAATAAACTTATAAAGTACGAAGTTGAAGAGCATTGAGGACCAAAATTCCTAAAAGTTTTGCCGAATACAGCTAAGGTAATCTATTCCTGAGGTAGAAAAACCTTAGTATTTCAAAATTTCAAAAGTTTTGTAAACAGTTAATTTATAAAATGACCATATCAATGATAATTCATGTCAGCAAAATCATTCAATCTTGAAATTATTATAAGTTAAGGACTCACACGTCAATATTTTGGATCAGACGACTTTTCTTTTATTAAAAGACATAAAACCGCATCATACTGTTCAGCCAATACGTGATTGTGACCGTGAAACGTGTGCAAATTCGCTTCAGTTTAACTTCCTCAAAAACCTGTTTGAAAATTCTGTATCTGTAGCACACCACGTCCCTGTTAACGACCGACGTCCGTAAACATGTACTCGCTTAAGCAAAAAATAATATGTTTAAATGAAGAGCAATGGAACAGATGGTATATAACTTAAAAGAGATAAGCTATCTGATTAATTTCAGTTATTGCCTGCGTCTACCTCTGTTTATTATTTTTTTTTAAACTGACCTTTCAGTGTGTACCTTTGTTGGTGAAACCATAAAGCTGCTATCGCAAACATGATTAAAACTATTACTACAACGCTTCCAATTAGCGCAAATTTCAGTGGAATACCTGTTCAAAGAAACAAAAATGAAACTTAGCAGTACTATAAGTTACTTTAGTTTTAAAATAAACAATTATCGGCGTTTAATCATTGATAACGTTTCATCTTAAAACTTGGTTTCTAGACGAACTCTTTTTTTTTTGTTAATTTCACAGATTTGACCGTTCTTCAAAAAAGCGAAATGGATGATTTATTTATTAAGGACACTTTATTATTTTTGGTGCGTCCAAAGCATTTTCCATGGTCTTACAATGGCCTAGGATGTTTTAATCTCAAAATTTAAGAGCTTAGGGAGTACAAATATTCAACCAGGGGATGATCTTTATGACAATAATAGATAAATCCATCTTGTTTAACTTGCTTATTTATTTATGCAATTTACAACTGAAATATTTAGAAAGGTACGTAGCTCGGCTATTAAGCTGATGGTATACACAGGAACTATCAACCCGACAACAGATGTATCGACCTTTTGCTAGAAAATGATAATTTTTTTTTTATCAATTTGGTGCGTCTGAAGAGTTTTGTTTTGTTATGTTCTCCAATTATTAAATGGAACAATTATAAACATGTTTATGCATTTTTTTTTTCATTTTTTTGGACACATATAAGGAAACACAAAGCATATCCTCTTAAAAAATCGATGACAGAAAAAAAATACTTGTTTAAATTCATTTTTTACCAATAATAACATACCAACATGTGTACTAGCGTCATCCTTTAATGTAATGTCTTGTTGAATTATGTACACTTTTGTTGATTGTTTTTCATTAGTTGATTGATCATGTTGATAAAATATCTTGTCTATCCAATAGTCTAAAAATGTATATTCTACGCTTCCATATATGTTTACAACTTGCCATCTATATGAAGTTAAATCGATGTGTCTAACGTCAGAAACGCATAGCTGTGATACAAAACCATCTTCCTTGAAGATTTTGTCCGAGTAGTTTAATTTAACTACAGATGGGTATAACAAAATACTGATTCGTTTTGAAATCACTAATTCTTTATCGTGATCGAACCAATAAATGGTATTGGCTTTCGGCACTGAGTAGAAGATTACTTTCATACAAATGTCCTGATGTTCTTTCCAATATTCTGTTTCTGTTATACTTGGAGGACCTGGAATAGTTCTGAATGTGTTCTGAATTTGTTCGTAGGAAATGAAGAGGATACAATGTTTTAAAAAGGAAAGATTGTTAATAAAGAAGTTTTGACGAGAAAAAAAGGCAATCTAATCGGTCATATTTTTTTTTATTGTTTGTGGCAAAAACATTTTTTTTAATGTATCATCGGAAACCATCATTGATTTAGATAAAAAATAGTATATTTCTTGTCTTAGCTATTTTACTCTTTATGATATTCAGTTACCATTTCAATACCAGGAATATATTAAAGCGGTAGCTCTATGCATGATTAACTTTTCATCCTGTAATTGTTGCACCCACAGGCACAATGGCAGACATTTGTTTAAATAAACTGAAATGTCAAAACAAATAAAAGAGTTGACATTATCAACTTCTCTGTTCCAAACTATCGGAGCGCAATAAATAACAAATTTTACATTATTAACATGTGGTTAATTAATATTCAATAATACAGCGCACAAATTTAAGAAGGAAGACATGAGGGTTTTTTTTACCTTGCTTGCTCAATGAATCCAGAAATCAATATAACTTTTTTCATGTTTTATTCTTTGGTAAGAATGAGCAATAAAATAGTGTTTTAGCTATCATGTCAAAATTTAAAACAGTACAACGAAATGTTTAATGTGTAAAACTAAAATATATTTTAATTCACATAGGACAATCGTTGCAAATTAAATTGAAAGTTGTGCATCTGTTATTTATTTATTTTCAACCAGAGAAAAGACAAAATCAAACACTTCTTCAGTATAAATTGGAATTAGAAACAATTCAACAAAATTTCAACTTGTTTTGTTAAGTAAAATTATTTTTTCTTTTATTTCTTGTGCAAAGTTGCTGTAGTATAGAAGTGTTTAAAGATTGGTTGTAATTAAAAAAAAAATTGATTGTGGAAAAATAAAATGTTGTTCCAAGGTATGTGTGTGTATTAGAAGTTTTGTTATTTATCAAGAGAAAACTAACCATTCCCCACCATTAAATTATAATTAGTGAATTATGTTGAATATATATAAACTCTGCTGAAAACAAACTCATACTAACTCTCGATGAGTTATCTGTGTTCTATCTTTCAATCTAAAATTATTTATGTTATTCATCAGTTAACTTTTGAACAGTTTCAAAATCAACTAATGCCTGAGTGCATTTGTGTTTTTCGAAATGTTATCATATCAGTATAAACTGCTGCTTACAATATAGGAAAGCATAAAAATATGTAAATACGCTTAGTATACCGCTGCAAATGACTTAACGAAATTAACATATCAAGCAAGTGACATGCTACATATCTTATATACAAAAATCACAAATTAAGACTGCTATATAGGTGTAATACCACCATTAATTTTCCACTATTAGTCTTTGTTAAATTTGCACTTTTCAAAAAGTTGTAAAGTTTTATCCTTTCCAGTACTACAGAAAACATTCACAGAACATTTCATTGCATATACGAACATAACCTTCACTTGAAGTTAACCAATCAAATGTTCAACTCTTTTTTAACTGTGTACAAGCTTTAGTAACCTTGTAACCTCAAGTTTCCAAAATATTCTTTAGAAACCCCAAGTAAAAAATAATGGGGCTTTAAAATACTCCAGATATATATTTATGACCAAGAAATCTTTTACTGCAATGAATTGTAGGATTAATTACCTGCAACTGTCAAATTTAAGGAAATATTTGTTTTCGACCTAATTTCGTATGCAACCGGATGTGACGTACTATGATTTTGTGGTATTACACCTGTATTACTTTCGGAGTGTTTTGTTTTGAATTTTTGTCCATGACATCCCATTACAGTCATTGACATGATAGACGGTCGACATTAATGAAACTTGATTCACAAATGTATACATATATATATATATATGTATATATACTGACCTTATTTTCTGCTTTAGCTGTCTGACTAATATACTCCCTATACGATGATATATGTAGGACTGACATTGGATATTCTTGTGAATCACTTGAAATGTATGAAAAGTAACAGTTGTGCGTTTGTTTTAAGTTCTTCACGTTTGAATTTTGAAAATCGAAAGGAAGTGAACACGAAAATAAATCCCAGTTTTATTTCTTGAAATAAAATATTTTTCGCATTAACTTATTTATCATACCTTAACAATTGTCGTAACCTTAATCCCGTCCTCCTTTTCTCGTATGTGACTTACCGTACTAAATTTACCATCGGTTTTCTACTATCGTGAGCGACACCACGGGTGCCTCATGGGAACATGATCTGTTTATTTTTCTCATGATATAACACCCGTTGTTTAGTTGGATTTGTATTGATCAGTCGTTATTTTTCTATGCTGTGTTCTTTTTACTTTTGTGTTTGTCTTTTTATCGTTTTTAATTCTTTGTCATGATACTGTTAGTTTGTTATCAAGTCATATATATTCTTAAGCTATTCCTCAAATCTCGTTTACACACATCACTCACCATTAACAGTTACGAAGGCTGATGCGGAAAACTCTTTGAATTTTCTCATCCATTTACATGTGTAGTTTCCTTGTACTCTGTAATCACAACCTGTAATGTACAGTGTTGATTTGCTTCCATTTATTAATCCGGTAAGATTCTTTATAAAATTGTCATTTCTACTGTGAAGCCAAACATTTTGCCAGTCATTTGTGTCTTCAACATCAACTTGACACAATAAAGTGACTCTATGACTATCTGATGCATTACAGTTAGCAGACGTAGGCTGAATCGTAACCGGAAACTCTTTAAAATAAAAAAGTAAACGTTAAAATGGTAAATATTATGTACCAGATTTCTTCATACAGTAATCGGTTTAAAGTTTCAATAAGATTTAGACAAATTAACCGTCACCGTATATTTGTTATAAAATTTACCTTGTCTCACGGTAGCATTAATTGAATGTGAACAGAAATTCGTAACTAGAATTTATGTGTAAGTTTTAGTAAAGGTTATTGACTTCAGTTGAGGAGGCCGAAGGTTGTATTTTAGTTTCGAGCTGCCAGTTTTAAGTATTAAGTTGCGAACTTGCGAACATCGTAACTTGAGTTTTGCAGACAATCTATGTCATTATATTAGACATTCAAGGTTGACATACATGAATAAGTGTTGTAAAATTTTAGAAAAGTTAAACAGATAAACTCTGTACCTCTCGTACGGAAATTAAACAGTTAAACTAATTTCAACATTGATGACTGGAATATCGGCAACACATTGTAATAAACTGTGTGAGTAAATATGTTGATATATATGGACATATATGATACATACAGACACATTTGTTATCCTTATTACATAAAATTACAAAAATTTACATCATTCAAGTTATGAATTTGAATGATCACATTGTAGATATCAGTTTGTGTCTCCAGTAAAATGCATTTGCTACCGTCAAATCCCATATTGACGTTGTCAACTCTTCAAATACAGTACTGTTATTAAATGTCTTACTTGAAAAATATAAGAAGAGTAACCAAGAAAAATCCTGTACCTTATTTGAGATAGACAGACAGGAGCAAAACAATATAGTGTCAATTTATAGGATATAACGAGTAAACATGACAAATGTTGACATGATTTCTACTGTCATATAAAAAGATAAAGGTAAAGGTCCAAATGAAACAGCTATTCACAAAAAACAAAAGAAGGACGAACATGTTTCAAAACAACTATAGGACATAGGCAACGTATTGCCATTGAGAATGAACAAACTCAATATATGTTACTTTGGATTTATTATCATTCGTTAGATACCAGTTTTTGTAGATTTCGTGGGTACAGGTGAACATGAATTTAAATGTTCAATGAAAAACAATTTTCTATAGGATTTTTATGCAGACTTTTACAAAACAACGAAATCAAATATCCACAAAAAGGCATGTTTTCCTCAATCCATGAAAATTGGTATCCATGATATTAAATGAATCAACAGTAGTAAATTTAAATTTTTTTGACTATTTCTGTAAAACCGCAATCTTCTCAGGACTTAGACCCATCAGCTGGGCTATACGCATATACAAAAGCCTAACAAACAGACAGAGAAAAAACACAAGATATTGATCTAGGAGAACTCTCAGTGAAAAGTTCTGTTCTTTGGTCGGGTTGTTGTCTCTGTGACACATACCCAATTTCCTCTCAAATTTATTATGTTATGAATGTGATAGATAAGAGACTTTGTGAATAGTAACAGGTCGGATGATGTTTTTATGTTATCTGTACTTGGTGTATTTGTAGATTTTATATAGTTGTGTATTTCCATTGAATTATTTGGATGATTATGTTTAAAGTGTAAGGTAGATTACACACTAGGTTGATGCATACTGATGTACAAAGATACTTTTATCATTAATTTTATATAGTATTCAATGGTATGTCCTTGTTTTTATAGTACACAACATGAAAACGAATATATCATGAACCCTAATTTTGCAAAAGTCGTTATACACTCTTCTTTAGTATTTTTGAGATGGTCAAAATACTTTTTTTCATGTTTAATATTTCTATCCTTCTACTCATTATGGATTAGGGACTTTTCGTTTTGAATTTTCCTCGGAGTTCTGTATTTTTGTGATTTTACTTTTTTTGCAGTAAATGACTTATTTGTGCGTTTTCCTGCTTATGAACCACCAGAAAATTAAAACATCTCATTTTAAATGTGTTATCTTTGTAAAGGTCATTATGTTTACAGTAATACATGATGCAGGAAATATTTGATACAATAAAATAGTTACCTGATATTTTCAGTAAGAAAGTTCTCTGTACAGCAGTTCCATTTTGAACACTTTGGCATTGGTAAGTTCCAACATCATTTGATGAAACATTAAGTATTTGCAGATTGTATTCACCATTTGAATGGTTTCCTATCAAACGTATGCGACTATATGATGATATGTTGGGGTTTATTAACTTTCCAACGATGTATGTAGTTAACTTTTCTTCCTTTGGTCCAAGCCAAACAATAGACTTGGATTCAACTCGAAATGGACAGATGAATACAATGTCGCTATTTTCTTTAACCAACTGAGTAGATGCATATGCAACACTACAATCTGAAAAGGTAAATATATGTACATGCATTTCAACTGTGTTTCAAAATAAAAACAAGTTTTTAACATATCATGTTTTTTAACATTGTCCATATTATTCTTAATTTCAAACTGTTGCGATTTTCAGGCTAATTCTATCTTTTTGCATTTTTGATGATATGTTGACAGCACTGTGGAGCACAATCAGACATCAAAAGTAAACTATCTTTGAACAACCTTGCATGCTGAATGCAGATCCAGGCATTATGCCATCCGCACCAAAATCTAACTTCACACAATAGCGTTTTATCTTTTGACCACAAAAAAATCTCAAACCAAAACCTTCTCACTAGATGCGATCAAGAAGATGTAGCCGCTACTTAAATGAGAAGAAGTTGCGGAAAGAGAAAGAAGATATTACTAAGACGACACTCAACTGGGTCCCATTATATAAAAGAAACAGAGGAAGACCTAGAATGACATAGTAGCGAATTCAACAGACAATAGCTAGTCAAACATCAACAGTCTTGGCGCGCACTAAGGTTAATTGTCAACAACCGACAGAAATCCATGATATTCGTTGATGTGCTACACGGAAATGGTGTCTAGAGCAGAAAGTAAGTATGAAGTAATAGCAATAAACATATAGAAATACTCTATCTGTTATAAACAAGAACAAATAAAAAGGTGGAAACCAAATGATTTTTAATGGCATGAGTTACTACAAAGTTATAAATTAAGACATACGAAATTGCCTAATGTAAACTTTGCCAGAGCAGTTGCAAACTTAGTTTGTGTGCAAGGACATTATTCCTAAATCAACATTTCATGATGAAAAAGACCATTCTAATATGACGTGCTTCTTTTGCTTTGTAAACAACACCGTGATAAAATTCTCGATATATCTATAGTTAGCACAGACTCAGAGATATACATAATAATGGGTGTTACAATTTACCTCCCAAGTAAATTCACATGTATCAGAACATATTTACAAACGCTTTGCCTATATTTTGTTTTAAAAACTGAAATTGAAATATGACGACATAACTTTTATTTTTATTCAAATGCATAAAAAAAGAATTAATGCACAACAGATCGGAGAAATCTAAAAATCAAAAATAAAATAAATTCCGCGAAATTTCATGAATGCTTTTGGCGCATTTAAGTCATTTCAAAACATGACGTCATACAAATGCAAACGCTAAAGCTGAAGGTTTTTCCGTTACGTAAACCATCGAAATTCGTATAATATTACATTAAAATGATTCTTAGAGGTAGGTGTTGTTTTATTTTCTATTCTTTTGCATTATTCGCATATTTACTGATTTCAGCAAGTCAACACGGCGGCTCCTTAGTAACGAAATGTCATCTTTGGATTTGACCGTAGCTTACGAGAAAATTATGTAGATTAAGAATGGCAAATGTTCTGTTTTTTCTAGTGGTTATTTACGAAATAATTCATGCAAGCTACAGATTTATTAGAAAGTTTAAGCTTTATAGAACAGGGAGCAAAAAAGAACAGCAGCACACACGGCATTCCCATCCTCGCTTCAGTTTTTAAATGACCGTATTTGTTCTATTAGAATCGAAATAATTCATGGAAGCCATGCATTATTTCTTAAGTATACCAGTTGAGGGTACCTTAGAATACTGATAATGAAATTGTTTACAAATTTTATGCTGTATTCCCGAATTACCTGCATTTCTCCGCATTTTAGGTGACTAGCTTTTATTCAATGTTAAACTTGTAATACCATAAAAGCAAAAAAAAAATCAGTCTCATACAAATGTTTCACATTTGTCATTTCGGGGCCTTTTATAGCTGACTATGCGGTACGGGCTTTGTTCATTGTTAAAGGCCGTACGGTGACCTATAGTTGTTAATTTCTGTGTCATTTGGTCTCTTGTGGAGAGTTGTCTCATTGGCAATCGTACCACATCTTCTTTTTTATATCATGAATCAAAATGTTAATGCAATAACAGCAGGTTGAACTGCTTCATAGTTTTGTAAAAATAAAGTTGTGACCTTGATATCTAGTTTAAAATAACCATTAAAATTCGTGAAAAACTTATCAGAAAAAAATATGCTATATAAGAGTATAATTAACAATTCTCCCGAGACCTTTAACACAGATTGTAACCCTGCACAGTTAGGGACAAATTATTCCTCGATCACTTTTGTAAAGTTCCCGCCTAGAAAAATTTCTTATTTCAGCAATTGAACACCGTTTATAAAATTAGAAATTATTTAGAAAAAATTCGTCCAACCTTTCTCAGTTAAAGTTAACTTATTTTTACAGAATATGATGCAATGAAAATAAACTAACATTGTAACAACCTCGTGCATCGGAAGTACTTTTCTGAATTTACCTCCATCAGGAACGACATATTAAGTACCTTAATCAAAAAGAAGATTTTTGCTGGTCACAAGTAAGCTATAAAACCAAGATTTCCAAGTGGTGAAGTTGAAATCGACCCTTCGTACATTTTATGGACGCCATTACAAGTTGGTTAACCGTTATTGAATATCCCTTTCACAAATGACAACAGATATGTTCCAATTGTCAATACTTCATTCCCGTCCACTTTTCCTCAAATGTGACCTACCGAATAAGACCTATGACTGGGTTTGTACAAAAAAACACGACGACTGCCACATGTTGAGCAATATCTCCTTACCCTTCCGGAGCACCAAAATTCACCACCAGTTTTTGGTGGGGTTCGTGTTGATCAGTCTTTAGTTTTCTATGCTGAGTTGTATGTACTATTGTTTCTCTGTTTGTAATTTTCTTTTATAGCCATAGCATTGTCCGTTAATTTTCAATTAATGAGTTTGGATGTCTCTTTTGTATCTTTTGTCTCTTCTTTGAAAGGCTAATTTTTTACTTTTTCAGAAAGAATACCAGTTCAATCCATTTTTTTCTACACAAGGAAATGCGTGTACCTAGTCAGGAATATCACGATTTCCATTCGTTTGATGTGTTTGAGCTTTTTGTTTTGTCATTTGATAAATGACCTTCCGTTTTGAATTTTCTTCGGAGTTGATATTTTACATGTTTTTAAGACGATGTTTGTATATTTTTGTGCTCAACTGCATTAGTTCAATAGACTACAATAGTTGCATACCTATAATGATCAAAAGTACAAGAATCAGAATTGCCATCGTTGATCTGAAATATTAAAACGAAGTGTTAATGAACTAAATCTAAAGATTATTTGATTCGGTAATTATCGTAAAAAATAGTTATTGGTAAACGTAAGTAAATTGATAAGTCCGCACTGACACATAGTATTTGATCCTTAAATTCCATTCCATTCATTTAAAAGGACGATATTTTAATATGTATAATAACTAGTCATTACAGTTAACAAAAAAGGTATGACAATTGATTTTTGTCATTAATTCATTTTGCCTCTCGGAATATGGAATAAAACAACAATTGTCTTTTGTATCGCTTAGAATAGTATATGAACATGCCAATAATAAGAAGAAAACAGCTTTGAAAGTTCTTGAAGTTTATTTCTCATTCTGGAAATAGGCGTATTATGTACTCTGTTATTTACTTCTGAATTATTTTCAAAATGTGATATTCTATTATCTACAACATTCAAACATTTATTTAAGTAAGAATCAAGATTTTTTTTATCAGATTTTTCCAGTTTACACCAATTTTTACAAAACGAGGAAAGAGCATCTTTGGTGACCTTATCTAGTATATTTAATGAATCTACCGTTCAAAACTTTATACCTCCCTTTTTTGATAACACAGAACAACCTATGATTTCATACACAGAAAAAAAACCAGCAGAAGTTTAAATTTTTAATTATATGTCGGTAACATCAGCCGTCAATGTAGAAAATAACACTCCTTTAACTTGAAACTGTGAGTCGTCGAAGTTTAGATATGTTCCATATGGCCATGGTATTACGGGGGGGGGGGGGGCTCAATATCGTCCAGGACAGAGAGGTTTAAAAAAATTTTGAAAAAAGGACCAAAATATCGTCCTCCATCTAAATAGATTGGAAACAGTGTCGTCAGGTAACCAAAGATTCTCTTTCTTCGTTTTGTAAAAATTGATGAAACGGGGAAAATCTGATAAAAAATATCTTGATTCTTATTTAAATAAATGTATGAATGTTGTAGATAATAGAATATCACATTTTGAAAATAATTTAGAAGTAAATAATAGAGTACATAATACGCCTATATAAAGAATGAGAAATAAACTTCATGAACTTTCAAAGCGGTTTGTGTTTGTACCGGCCGACAAAGCAGTCAACAATGTGGTGGTGGTATGCCGTAAATACTACACGGACGTTCTTAAGAATGAAATATGAAATTCATCTACATTCAAGTCCATGCGCTCCACAGAGAGTCATATAGTAAACAAACATATCATAACCACATCACAGCTTAAGGCTTCTTCTGAACATTTGAGTCCCTACTATGTATTGTTTACCTAAACTACACAAAAAAAAACCAGTAAAATATCGTTTCATCTTGGCCTCTAGTAAGTGTTCTACAACTAATCTATCAGTGCTTTTACAAGTTCCTTAACTACTATCAAAGAGCTTATCATAAACACTTGTAACAAAATATATGAAAATAGTGGAATTAACTATTTTTGGAGTGTAAAAAATTCTTTGGTTGTTTTAGATAAATTACCTGCTTTTGATGGTCCTTTTTAATTCTGTTGACATTTTTTACTTTTCTACTCTTTACACTACACTTCCACACAATCTTATCAAACAAAAGTTTTCCTAATTAATTAAATGGTCGTTTGGTAAATCTGAAAGCAAATATATTTGCTGCAACTCATTTAAAGCCTTCTTCTCTAAATAGAAAGGTAAATTCTCGTTTTTTTATATAGATTAGACCGTTGGTTTTCCCGTTTGAATGATTTTACACTAGTAATTTTTGGGGCCCTTTATAGGTTGCTGTTCGGTTTGAGCCTAGGCTCCGTGTTGAAGACCGTACCTTGAGCTATAATGGTTTACTTTTATAAATTGTGACTTGGATTGAGAGTTGTCTCATTGGCACTCATACCACATCTTTCTATATCTAGATATACTTACTGGAGGTGTGATGAGATGATAGAAGCTGTTAATTTTCTCCTTGATAATATTTATGTACGTTTCGGCAACAAAGTTTATCGACAGGTTGTATGTATTCCTATGGGCACTAATTGTACCCCTTTAATAGCAGACTTGTTTTGTACTGTTATGAATCACAGTTTATGACCAAACTCAGTAAAGACCCGTTTAACTTGCATTTATTTGATAAATTCAACAACACTTACCGTTATCTTGATGATATTTTTTCGTTAAATAATCAAGAATATTCTCAATATACTGCCGAAATTTACCCAAAGGAACTTACTTTAAATAAATCAAATTTAAACGGTTATAACTGTTCTTTCCTAGACTAAGTTATTTTGGTTTTAGACTGGAAACTCCACACTAAAATTTACGACAAAAGGGACGAATTTTCGTTCCCTATTGATAACTTTACCTCTTTGGATGGTGATGTTCCTTTGGCACCATCTTACGTTGTTTATATTTCAAAACTCGTTCGCTATGTCCATGTCTGTTGTGACGTTTTTGATTTCAACGAACGTAATCTATGTATTACTGGTAAATTATTAAGCCAGGGATTTCGTTACCACAAATTTCTTAAAACCTTTAATAAATTCTTCCATAGATAAAAAGATCTGGTTTGGAAGTTTGGTTGTACCTGTAAAACACTTATTTCCAACGGGATAGCACATCCTACTTTTTACGGAAATGTTGTATACCGTGCCCGGAAATTTAGAAACGATCCTGGTAAACTTATCCAAACTTTAAATAAATTTATTCTAAAAGGTTACCAATTCAACCCTGTAATTAGATCATTGAATATTGTTTTATTGGTATTAATATTGATTTTGTTATCAGTAAATTAAAAGCAAGCTAAATATTATTGTTATATACATATACACATTCATGGATCTACAATCTTATGATGTTGGATATGTACTGATTGATAATTTAGTCTTAGATGAATGATTTTTTTATTAGTTGTTATTGACTTTGATCTAGCTGTCAGTAACTGCGAGTACTCTCAGATCTTTACTAAGTGTATTTTTGTTGCTGGGATGTACAAGTACCCTGCCACGTCCACTTGTATATGTAGTATTTGTATTTTTATCCATCTGATGATTTAAGCCTGATTTTTATAGTTCGTTCTTATGTTGTACTGTTACACCACTGTCCCAGGTTAGGGGGAGGGTTGGGATCCCGGTAACATGTTTAACCCCGCCACATTCTGTATGTATGTGCCTGTCCCAAGTCAGGAGCCTGTAATTCAGTGATTGTTGTTTTTTTATGTGTTACATATTTGTTTTTCATTCATTTTGTGTACATAAATAATCATTTGAATTGTTTTACATTGTCATTTTGGGGCCTTTTATAGCTGACTATGCGGTATGGGCTTTGCTCATTGTTGAATGCCGTACGGTGACCTTTAGTTGTTAATTTCTGTGTCATTCGGTCTCTTGTGGAAAATTGTCTCATAGGAAATCATACCACTTCTTCTTTTTTATATGTCCTGAAAAAAAGGTTAGCCTTCTTTCGAGTAAAAACGTTTCATATCAAATTAAATATTTAAACTTTAAAAATGTTTAAACAGAATCATGAGAGTAAAATTAACAAATTTTTTTAGTACTTTTCAAGACATGAATCAAAATCATTGTCATGTTAGATATATTTCAACTAAATTATTTGAGTTATCTCCCTCTGAACTCTTTACTTTAATAAATACATTATTTGATGAAGCATGCATATTCCTTTCTCAAATTCAACCGAGTATGTAACTAACGACGCTTACATTCTGTTTCACATGGTTATAGACAACAAAGCATATGCCAAGTATTTAATTGCATTACAAAAGCAACAAAATTCTTCAAGGTTTTCAACGAGTTTTAAGTAATCTGGTCATATTGTTTTTTATAAATGTTGACAATAATATGGGTGTACAAGCCTCAATGTTTAACTTGATTCGAACTTAAAAAAAAGTAACTCATAGAAGAAAACAATTACTTGTGATACTAATTGACAATGTGATGGCAAAAAAATGAAAAACGCCGAAAAGATAAATAACAGTATATATAGCACAAAGAGAAAACAAAATACTCAGCAACACGAACCCCATAAACAAACTGGGGTGATCTGAAAAGCTAGTTGAACGGAAGACGACGGATACGTTGCAATGGTCAATACCACATTCCCGCTCTCTTTTCCTCGATTGTGACCTACCGAATAAGACCCATCAACGGGTTTTTACGTATATGTGCAACACGGGACGGATGCAGATGCAGAATTTTCTCACTTTTCTGGAGCACCTGAGATAACCCCTCTTTTTTTTTCTTTTTTTTTTTTTTTTGAGGTTTGTTTTGCTCAGTCTTAATTTTCTACGTTGTGTTTTGTGTGCTGTTGATTGTCTTTTCGTAGTTTTGTTTCGTTTTTGCAATGGTATTGTCAGTGTGTTTTCAACTTGAGTTTCAATATCCTTTTGTCATCGTTGTTTTCACCTCTTGTAGGGACAAAGATCGTTTTTTAAATAGTTGAATAGTTGTATACATGTTGTGCATACTGCATTGCTGATGTTAGGCAAATGATTTTCAAAATACATAAAAAATAAATTACAATATTCGAAAGTGTCTACTGTCAAATGCTTATAAATTGGAAATAAATTGTAAATTCAAGCAATAATGTTCCTATAAATAGCTATATGATATAATAAAAAGGTTGTTTTTTTTTGGATAACAAAATTAACAGCCGTTATATGCACAAAACAGCACACTAACAAATTCCTTTAACTCTTGCAATAAATATACCAACAATGTCCCGTGTATAAGAAGTAAAGTCATATACATATACTTATATCTGACAAACAAACCAACCAAACTGAAAAGGAATAAATAGTAATGAATCGTGTCTTTTCAAAATTGAACACTTTGTAAAAATTCAATCAGCCAAACAATATCAGATATTAGAACTGTGTTGGGAAGGACGGGAAAAACGGTTGTTATTTCGACCATTCTTGTGCTAAACCCGTACACTTTTTCAAGAGAGTAGCAGTGCAAGGTTCCCATATTAATAAAAAAATTAAAAAAGATTCATTTCTA